AGAAGCGGTGAGACGGCGGGTGGTAAAAGTGCCAGTCGGACGCGTCAAGGGGAAAACCGAGGAAGACGCAGGGAAGGGTGCGGGCAGTGAGCTTGTCCGTGCCGGAGGCACGGACGTGAGCAAGGCAGCCCCAGACGTGGAACGCAGACGCGTCACCAGGAGATCCAGTCCACAGACGGGTCGGCGAAACCTGCGGCTGCTGAGGGTGCGGCCACAGGTTAAGCTGGTGAGAAGCGTAGCGCACAGCGAACGGCCACAGAAAATGGGGTGCACCGGCATGGACCATGGAGGTGCGAGCGACCTCCATGACCAAGCCGATGCGTCGCTCAGCGACCCCATTCTGCTGTGGGGAGTCCGGTAGGGTGAACGTCTGGGTGATGCCCTCCGCACGACAAAAGCGACCAAGGACACCTGAGGCAAACTCGCCACCACGGTCTGAGTGAAGACGCAAGACAGGGAGACCGCGGTGGACACGCGCAGAGACAAGCCAGGGGATGAGGGCGCCAGGCACGTCGGCCTTGCGCTCCAGGGGAAAGACTGTGGTGTAACGAGTGAAGTCGTCGACAAGCACAAGGAAGTAGCGCTCGCGACGCGGCCCAGGGACGGGGGCGGGGCCCCAGACGTCCACGTGCAGGGTCTGCAGCGGCGCGACGGTAGGGGGGAACGAGGAGGAGTGAGGGGCACGGCGAAGCCGACCCTCGACACAAGGCGTGCAAGGTGGAGCTGGGGAGGAGGGAAACGCGGGGAGTGAACCTGGGAGACCAAGGACAAGACCGTGCTGGAACATGTGACGCAGACGCGGGAGCGCAGGGTGACCTAGGCGGTGGTGCCACAGGAGGGTCGGGTGAGTGAGGGAGCGACAGGAGCAGGCAGCAGCAACCTGGGTAGACACAGCCACCTGAGGGGGCGCTCTAGCCGGGGGGGGCACGGTGTCCAGAGTGAACAGGCCGGACACCGGGTCCCGGGGGAACGTGGACAGGGGGGCACCAGTGGCGGCCTCGGTACAGACAGCATACCGCTCGTGACCAGGGAACGTAGTGGTGACGCCAAGGTCCTGGAGGCAGCCGACACCAACTAGGTTCCTGGAGAACGAGGGGATATGCAGACCTGTAAGAGAGCCCGAAGGAACCGCCGGACAGGGAAGGGTGGTGGAACTGCGGGCGACTACCGGGCCGCCGGAGGGGTCAGCAAGAGAAACCGCAGCAGGAACAGGAAGCGGCGTCAGGGTGGTGGAGTCGCGGAAGAAACACCGAGAGGCGCCAGAGTCCAAGGTAAAGGAAAGCGAAGCCGAGGGGTCTGGCGACGGAACGACGACAGAAGCACCAAGACTACACAAAGCAGGGGATCCTACGCCTGACGCAGCAGGGGGGGCTAAGCTAGGCACACCTACACTAGGCAACAGTGAGTAATAAGTCGGAAGCACACTAGAGTCATCAGCATACATCACATGCAGAGCAGAAACAATGGCATCCATGTCCATATCAAAGATCTGAATCTGACGACTAAGCAAACTGTGCCAGTCCGGGAGGTCTGGCGACGGGCCGAAACGCTGACGAAAGAGGTCGTCCAGGCGACGAAAGCAGCGGGGAGTGGAGTGACCGATCTTACCGCAAACGAAACCGCGGCGAGGACCGGTCTGGATCTGGTACTGACAACGCCCGCCGGAAGAGCCACCTCGCGGCACACCACCACGCGCCCGTCCACCGCCAGCGCCGGGCCACCCTGGCGGGAGAACACTCGTCTGCCGCGTCTGCGACGGCTGCTGCGGCTGCTGCGAAGGCTGCGACTGCGGCGGCTGCTGCGGCTGCTGCAACTGCAGGGGCGGCGACTCAGCTGGACTGGGCAGGGTCCCCTCGTCCGCTCCAGCACCAGGCGACCCGACCCCACCACTACCCCGCCCGCACCCCCGCCGCCCCCTCCGCCGCGCCCAGCCTTGGGGCGGCGGCCCTTCCCCGAACGGGCCTGCGCTGCAGCAGCAGTCTCAGCTACTGCGGCAGAGCCGTCGGAGAAGGTACACTGAGCAGGGGCACAACCCTGAAAGATAGGGACCGGCACGACACCGCTCGCCTGGGCGATGGAGCGGTGACGGGTCTCTATCACAGTCAGGGTGTCGACAAAGTCAGTGAGGGTGAGGTCTGCGGGGTGAACACTAAGGAAGCGGTCGCGGGCGACAGCAAGGCGGTCAGGGAGGCGGGTGGCAAGCAGGTAGAGGGTAGAGGTAAGGGGCGGCTGGTGGGCTCTAAGCTGTGCGTCAGTGCAGGCGGCGCGCCAGGTCTCCTCTATCGAGCGCAGGTGGGCAGCGAGGTCAGAGACAGTGGGGAACGAAGCAAGGTCAGGAAAGAGCAGCGGGAGGATCAGGCGACCCACCGAGGCAGCCGGAGGGGTGGAATAGCGCTTGATGACAGCATCTAAGTATGCCTGAGCAGTAGTGAGGGACCTAAAGCGAGGACGCTCGGACGGGGGGAGGGCGTTGCTAATGGCAAGCTGGGCGACAGCATCGCGAGAAAGCCAGACAGAGCGCGCACGGGCAGTGGCAGCAGTAGACTCACGCTCAGTGGGTGTGGGGTCAGCGGGCAGAATAGCAGGAGGGTCTGGGCAGGGGAGCGTACCGTCAAGGTGTGCGGAAAGCGGTTCACCATCCTGCCGCTGGCCAGTGAGTTGGCGGCGGAGGTCGGCAAGCCACGCCTCGAACTCTAGGGGCTGACCTTCAGCGTCGAAGCGAAGCTCCGCCGCCATCAGGAACAGTCCAGTGCTGTGCAGGGCGGTGCAGTGCGGTGCAGTGCGAGACAGTGCGGTGCAGTGCGGTGCAGTGCGGTACTGTGCGGTACAGTGCGGTGCAGTGCGGTGCAGTGCGGTGCAGGGCGGCACGGAGCAGGGCGGGGTGGGGGGGGGGGGAGGGGGGGGGGGGGGGGGGGGGGGGGAACCGTACCAGTGAGGAGGACGGGGCCGGGTCTGGCCCGACGGGGCCGGGCGGGCGCGACGGGGCCGGGCTGATGCGACAGGGCCGGGACAGGGCGACGGGGCCGAGCGGGCGCGACGGGGCCGGGCTGGGGCGACGGGGCCGGGCGAGTGCGGCAGGGCCGGGCCGGTGCGACGGGGCCGGGCGAGCGGGACGGCGGCCGGGCTGGTGCGACGGGGCCGGGCGGCTGTGACGGGGCCGGGCAGGGTGCGACGGGGCCGGGCGGGTGCGACGGGGCCGGGCGGCTGCGACGGGGCCGGGCGAGCGCGACGGGCCGGGCAGGGTGCGACGGCGCCGGGCGGGCGCGACGGGGCCGGGCGGCGGCGACGGCGCAGGGCGGGCGCGACGGGGCCGGGCGGCGGCGACGGGGTCGGGCGGGCGCGACGGCGCCGGGCGGGCACGACGGGGCCGGGCGGCGGCGACGGGTACGACGCGGCCGAGGAGGGGCGCTACGGGGCCCAGGAGGGGCACGACGGGGGGGCCCAGGAGAGGCGCTACGAGGCCCAGGAGGGGCGCGACGAGGCCCAGGAGGGGCGCTACGGGGCCTGGGAGGGGCGCGACGGGGCCTGGGAGGGGCGCGACGGGGCCCAGGAGGGGCGCTACAGGGCCCAAGGAGGGCGCGACGGGGCCCAGGAGGGGCGCTACGGGGCCCAGGAGGGACGCGACGGGGCCCAGGAGGGGCGCTACGGAGCCCAGGAGGGGCGCGAAAGAGCCCAGGAGGGGCGCTACGAGGCCTGGGAGGAGCGCGACGGGGCCCAGGAGGGGCGCTAGGGGGCCTGGGAGGAGCGCGACGGGACCTGGGAGGGGCGCGACGGGGCCTGGGAGGGCGTTACAGGGCCCAGGAGGGGCGCTACGAAGCCCAGGAGGGGGCGCGACGAGGCCCAGGAGGGGCGCTACGGGGCCCAGGAGGGGCGCGACGGGGCGCTACGGGGCCTGGGAGGAGCGCAACGGGGCCTGGGAGGGCGGTACAGGGCCCAGGAGGGGCGCTACGAAGCCCAGGAGGGCCGCGACGAGGCCCAGGAGGGGCGCTACGGGGCCCAGGAGGGGCGCGACGGGGCGCTACGGGACCTGGGAGGAGCGCGACGGGGCCCAGGAGGGACGCTAGTGGGCCTGGGAGGAGCGCGACGGGGCCTGGGAGGGGCGCGACGGGGCCTGGCAGGGGCGCTACGAAGCCCAGAAGGGGCGCGACGGGGCCTGGCAGGGGCGCTACGAAGCCCAGGAGGGGCGCTACGGGGCCTGGGAGGAGCGCGATGGGGCCCAGGGAGGAGCGCGACGGGGCCCAGGAGGGGCGCTAGGGGGCATGAGCGGAAGCGGTAGGTGGGGGGGGGGATCCTACCTACGCGTGATACCATAACAGAAAATTGAATGATAGTGATAGAGGGAGAGTACACACAATATAGCTAAGTGTTGTACCCTCTAAGAGGCTACCCTATACAGTCTATACAAACATAACAAATAGACATGTTTGACACAGGAGACGAAGTATAGAATCTGCAGACACAAGTACTTGAAGTAGAAAGTAATACTGGAAGTACCTCCAGTAACAGCCAGTATTAACAAGTTGTAACACCAAAGTCAGTGTTACAACCTTGCGATACTTCAAGACTTAACCAAGGATCTTTTCTGGAATGGTAGAATAGTAAGGCAGCGGAGCGGAAGTCTTAGAACTTGTAAAGTGTTTGACAAGAATTTACTGAAGAACACGTTAACAATTGAAGTTGTACAAGCTACTTTTATATCTGCTAGAAGTACCTATTCGACTATGTACCTGTTCGAGCTATTTGCGCTATTCGCTCTAACCGCTACTGAAAAGAGCGCGACTGTTCGCGTGACTGAAACGGCTTGCTGACGTAGTCATCCAGACAAGCGCTATGTGCTGAGGTCGTTCTACGGATGCTAACTACAGTGTAACTCGACAATATCTATCGGAACTACTTACAAAAATGCTTAAGTACGATATTATCACAACAGAAGGAACATGGTCAGGGCAGAATGGGGGGCTGGTTGGTCGTTCCCTATAGGGACTTCCGAAGGTGAGAAACGTGGCTTGTAGAAGTAATGCGCAAATAATTTACAAAGACAAACAAAAAACAAAATGATCACACCAACATCTCAACTCATTCATAGCCAGCTGTTGTCCCCTGAACGAATCTCATCTATGCTCATCTTGAACGGCCGCAGCTGATGTTAGTGTTGGCACTGGCGGTGCACTCACTTGCATGCAACAGCCACTGCCTAGAACCTGGCATTGTAGCTTTCCCCAGAATGTGGATGGGGGGATGCAAGCTGCTGCTCTTGGTTTCTTAGGAGGAAGGGGGGGCCCAAGCCAAGTAACCCAAGTGGCTTTGAACGACGGTTTTAGCCGGGATGGTTGGATGAAGCCAAAGTTGCGCTTGCCAGCAGCGGGAATGTACTGCGCCCACGAGGGTAGAGAGCATGACACAACCTGCAACCAGCGGGCATCACACAACAACAATCATAAGCTTCACATCCTTATTGAGGCTTAGATTTGTAGAAACCCCATTCCCATTCATCCCTCCCGCTCACCTGCTCTCCCCTCTCGCTGCCTCCTTACCCCTCACACTCTCCCCACACCTCTCCCTCCTTCCACTCTCCCGTGTGCACCTCGATGTTCCAGGCGTTGTAGGGCTCGAAGTTGAAGCAGGCGAGGGCGACGTCCTTGATGGGGAAGGAGGCGTTGGTGTTGAGCACGTCGCACCCCCACATGCTGTGCTCCTCGCCGTACTGCTGCCAGCTCCCATCCACCTTGCACGACACGTTCACCAGACTCAGTGGGGCTGCACAGAGCGCACATGCACACACACATGTGGGGATGGAGGACAGATGGGATGGCGAGGGTGGTCGGGTGTGACTAGTGGGTGTGTCAGACTATCTACATGCCAAACCTATGCCTACATCACCAGTGGATGCAGAGCCGCACCACGGCACAAGGAGAATCGCCAGGCACCGAAAACAGTAGCATGCCTGCATGGCTACTACGACCAGCCTCTCACCAGAAACAGGGCTGGGGGGTGCCTTGGGTGTGGTGAACTTGGGGGGAGAGGGCCAGCGGCCTTTGGGGGGAGGTGGGGAGCGGGGAACGGGGGGGGAGGGGGGAGGTGGGGCGGCGGGGGGAAGGGCGCCAGCAGCGAGGCGGGCGAGGAGGCCGACAGCGGGAGCATTGGCGCAGGCAGAGGGTTCCGTGAAGGCCGGCAGCAGCCGCGAGTCCTGGAAGCCGTCCGTCTGGCCGGTGGGGAAACGAGGGGAAGGGGATGGGGTGGGAAGGGAAGTGTGCGGGAGAAAGAGGGACGGGAGCAGACTCGAGTTCAGTAAGCCGTGCAGACACCAGAGAGAAAGGGGGGAGGGGGGTGGAGGGAGAAGATGGGATGGGAAGGGGAAGGGGAAGTGTGGGGGAGAGAGGGAAAGGGTGCAGGCACCAGTCAAGGAAGCCATACGTCTGGCCGTTGACGAACGAAGGAGAAGGGGAAGTGAGATGGAGCGGGAGAAAAAAGGGTGCCGGAGCGAGTAGAGGAAGCCGTCCGTGTGATGGGATGGGGGGATGAGATGGGAAGGGGAAGTGGTGGGGATCCGGCCATGCAGATGAGGCAGGGAGTAACGCGTGTGTATGTGTGTTGGGTCGCACACCCACACATGCGAGCACATGCTCACAGCTACACATGCAAGAAACGAGGCACAGATGGTGGCACATTCGGTCCACAAGCACTCACAGCGTTGGGCCCTCCAACGATGGCGCCGACATGCACATTGGGATTGGCAGAGGCGCTCTGCAAGTAGGTGGTGTTGCCGCCCTGGCATGTCACTGGAGAGGGGTCCGTGTTGAATGAGACAATGGATGCCGCCCGGTGATGGACATTCTGAGGGAAGGCGGAGCCAAAGCCGACCATGAAGGAGAGAGCGAGCGGATTGCTGCCCAGCAGGTAGTCAACCTGCCACGAGGGAGCACGGGGATCACACGGGCTGGGTGGGGCCATCCACTCCGTGAGCTGCCACGCAGCCGCAAGGGCCTTGAGCCACCCACGCGCAGTCACAATGCGAGCAAATGCTGGGGCTCTTCAGGGCGCATGCATGAGCTCCTTTATCCCCGCGTACCTGGGACTGGCCCAAGGCCAGTATCTGGGAGGGCGTGACGGTGACGCCTTGGCAGTCAACGGTGCGCGAGGCGGCAGCGAGGGAGTCGGCAAGCAGGACGAGCAGGAAAGCGGCAGACAGGGCGAGCTGCGCGTTGCTGCCGCGCACATACAGCAGGCCCCCCGGCGTCGTGTACACGGCGCGCAGGGGGTTGGCGGGCATGTGCGCGCACACAAACACCTCCGCCATGCCCGCATACCCCTCCACCACCCACATCAGCGGTGCGCTCGCCTGGATGCTGGTGGGCAGCCCCGCCCACAGCGCCTGGTGCACACGAGGGTTGGGAGGGTGGCATGGAATGGAGCATGGGGGGTGAAGGTGGTGTGGCAGCGTGGACGCATGCACGCACAGCCTTGTTCAGCTGTGGAGGTAGGCAGTGTGACATAGCCAATCCTCCCTCCCTCACACCACGCCCAACCTGGCTGGCAGTGCTGCTGCCCAGCCCTCGCAGGTCACGGAGTGCGCTGATTGCCATGGCTCTCAGCGCAAGCAAGTGCTGCTCTAGGCTCCTCAGTGGGCACTCGCGTCTTCTCACCACGAACGACAGCTTGTCCTAGCCAGCACCGCCACCATTTTGAAGGCAGGTTGAAGTTGGCTTTTGAAATCTAATTCTCTGAAGCGGGACCTCTACTTACCCCATCAGCACCGCCCCTCACCCTAGCCGGCACCGCCACTCACCCTAGCCCGCACCACCACTCACCCTAGCCAGCACCGCCATTCACTACTCACCCTGGCGAGCAGCACCGCCACTCACCCTGGCTGGCAGCACCGCAACTCACCCTAGCGAGCAGCGCCTGTGCGCCGGGCAGCTTCTGGTCCCAGCTCATTTCTGTCTGCATCTGCTGCGTCCCCCCTATGGCCGGCTCGTTGCGCTGCAAATACTCCAAGTACCGCTTCAACCCCGTCGCCCTGTACAGCCACACCGCCGCCCACGCCAACTCGTCCTGCATGCAGAGGAGGAAAGGGGCGGGTGGGGGTGTGAGGAGGAGAGGGGCCGAGTGGGGGAGTGAGTGAGCGGAGCAGGTGGAAGGAGAGGCAGGGTGGGGTGGTGTGAAGAAGAAAAGGAAGGAATCAGGGGAGTTGTACTGTTGAAGCAACGCGGGTTTCAGAGGCTGGGGCGGGAGGACAACCGCTGCTGTTCCCCTGGGCACGGTGCGCCCCATGCTGAGAGCACTTCGAAACCTACTCGGGAGACTTCTAAAGGCACACTTAAACCCAGAATCTGCCCGTTTCCCAACTCTGCACGTTCCGCTAGTGAGCCAGAGTGCTGTTTTGGGAGTCCCAGGTGTGAGGGGTGCGCGCACCTGAGCTGCACGCATGTTCTGCACACCCCACCACACACGAAGCACTGTGCACGGGGAGCGCTCACCCTGCCAGCAGCGGCTGTGTGTGCGGTGTGCGCGCTCACCGTGTAGCCCGAGGAGGGAAACTTGAGAGCGGCCCCGGGGACGACGGCGCTGTACACGCCGCGGTACTTGTCAGCGAACACGAACAGCTGGGGGGGGGAGGAGGGGGGGGGGTTGGTAAGGGGGAGAAAACGATGAAGCGGGGAGAAGGAGCGGAGGGGCAATGGCTCGCCGCGAACACACCGCATCGCGCCTTTGTAGGCCGGCACGCGCCATGGCGCCGTGCTGGGTGCGACCAGCAGCGTGCGCGTGGCGCCATGGATCAACCCAACCGCGCGTTCTCTGCGCGCCCAACACTGGCCCTTCATGATGGCGCTCGTAACTCGCCCTGACCTCGGAACGCCCGTTGGCGTAGCCACAACGACCGTATCTCTGAAATGTTGAAGCACCAAGAAGCGCAAGCGCCGTACCTGCTGCGCGTGAGTGAGGCAGCCGCTGGCGTAGGTGGCGTTGACATCTTTAAGCGCCAGGTACGAGGCGGCGAGGGCGGCGGCGGTTTCAGCGGCGAGGTCGGATCCGGGGCGGGTGGCGTTGATGCGGTACGCCGTGCGCGACGTGCTCATGTCCTCCGGCCGCTGCCAGCACGCCCCGTCCGTCACCGGGTCGCCCACCTGTAACGCGAACAAAGCAAAGGTCAGGTTTCTCTACACACGACCCAGCGAGACAGGTCCGCGCATACAGGAGGCTAATGCATGCGACACGTGCCGTCCCACCTGCGCCCAGAGCTCCTCCGCCTTGGTGTGCGTCTTGAGCAGGTAGTCCGCCGCCCAGCGCAGCGCGTCACGGGCGGCGGCGAGCTGCGTGGCGCCGCCTGCGGCGTCGACGTGGCGGGCGAAGTCGACAAGGCTCCACGCCAGCATGGTGGCGGCGAACGCCCCCGGCAGCCCCGCCTTCACGTTGCTTCCGCCCTCGTAGTACCCGCCGCGCAGATCCACCTGCCCAAGGAAGGGGGGGGAGGAGCGCACGGACGACATCTGTCAGCGGCCTGAGGCTGCCCTCGTAGTGCCCGCCGTGCAAGTCCATCCGGGGAAAGAGCAGTCAGTTGGGAGGGGGGATGCGATGCAGCAAAAGGGGTTGGGGAGCAATCAAGTGGAGAATAAGGGGGGAAGCGCTTCTGCCGCCGACCGCATGCGGACCGCCGTGACACCACGTCATCGTCATCGTCACTACAGCACCACCCGCACTCCACCCTTATCGCCAACAGCAGCTACAACCGCCGACGCCCGCTCGTATTCACCTTCTGCGCGGTGCCGTCGGAGAGGCCCGAGTCGCCGCGCCACGAGATGGTGGTGGGAATGGCTGCGCCCGCGAGCTGCCCGGACCGCTGCCCCTCGAAGAACAGAATCGCCTTCGCCAGCGCGCTGCCGTAGTCCACCGCCGCGGCCCCGGCTTGAGTGGCCTGACCTAGAGCGAGGACGACGAGAAGCACCGCTAGGGCGCCAGCGCCGCTTGTCCTTTTGAAACTCCGCGAATCGTGCGCTTTACATGAGCGGCTGCCGCTGTCGCTCGTGGCGTCTCGAAATGCCATGGAACCTACGCCCTCGCTTCAAGGTGAGGGTAAAAGGCTCCGCAGCTATGAACGTATGTGCCTGCGTGGCATTCGACTTATCGGCGCGGGCAGCGCTGTGTGCGTGAAGCGTCCGTTGAAAGACTCCGTGCGCGGTGGATGCGACGGCAAACACGGTTCGTGCACTACCGTAGCCTGAGCGTTAAAACGGAGCTGGCTTCCTTGTCGGCAAATAAGGCTGGCACGCCCCCCTTCGTTGAAGCTCCAGGAAGGACTGCAGGACGGGGCATTCAACAGCCCTTAGGCCCAGATCTATAACTCACGATACACTGGACACTAGACGCTGGAAGACACTCGACTGCAGCTCAAGATTGGCTGGATGGCGAGAGTTAGCTCGCTCGTGTGTGCTTGGCGATGGTGATCTCTGGGAAGGTCTGACCTGATCAGCGCGCGATTCGTTAGTGTAGCACGTATCTTTCTTGTCCATGGTGGATGGCTGGCTGGAAGGTGCACCTTCCTTCGTTCAGCCAAGGCAGGTCGCGGTGCGGTGCGGTCCCGCAGCAGAAGAGGAGATAAGAGCAGAGAGCTTCACCTCTCCCGGCATTACCGGACCACCATAAAACGACAAAACCAGAGCGTGGGGACGGTGGGTGAGGGAAACAAGCCTCCTTCAGAGGGGTGCTAACCTTCATGTTCATTGAAAATTGCGGGTTTCCAAAAGGTCAATCAGTTTTAGAAAATTGTTGCGAAACCGGCCCCTATCGCATTCGCGGCCTTAATACGCTACGCAGTCTGTTTGAAGTGGACTGGGGCGGGCAGGCTGTTAAATTTTGGGTTCTCGGCAAAGAAATATGGCTTCCCGTCCGGGTCTGACACTCTCCCTTCCAACCCCCGTCGTGCCCCCAATTACCCTACCACCCCCCCCCCACTCCACCAGCAGAGCCCCCGGGGTCCGTGCTAGTGTCCGACTACCCCCCCCCCCCATGCCCCTGCCCCCTCCCCCACCCTTCTGCGCCGCCCCACCCATGCCTCACCCCGTCACCCGCCAGGCCCTTCACTCTGTGCAGCTCACGCCTTGACGGCCCTCTCCTTGCCCCCCCCACCCCACGAGTCTGAAGCTACCCGCCCGCCACGTCCCTCTTGTTCCGCAGCTTGTGCACACATGGCCCCTTCTCTCCCTCCCCAGCCCCACCCTGCCGGTGCTGTCCGCACCCCGTGTACTCCCCCACCACGCCCGCTCTGCCTCCCACATCGTGCGGCTTCTGCCAACTCGACGCCCGCCCCCCCCCCCCCTTTTCCCCAATCCATGGCGCCTCTTGCAAGACCAGCCGCGCCCCCATACCATCTGCTCCTCCCCGCTCCCCTCCCGCCAGGCCCCTGGGGCCCGAGCCTGTGCCCTCCCACCTCCTTCCCCCTGTCCTCCCCACGCCCCCCCCCCTATGCAGTTCCCCGTATATTTTGCTCCCTGTCCAACGTGCTTATCGACCTCTGCATCTCATGCTCAGATAGCCTCACCGCCTCCCCCCTCGCCCCAAAGTAGGGTGGCGATCCACCCGACCTCCTGCCGCTCCCCCCAACCCTTCTTCCCCCCCAGCTGCACCCGCCAAGTACCCCCGGCCCGAGCTCGTGCCCTCTCACTTCACCTTTCCCGCCCCCCCTCCGCCCCCCACTTTGTCTTCGTCTCGCCCCGCAGGCTTCTCTAATACGCCCTCCTAGCCTTCCACATCTAGCTGCTCCGACCCCGAGCGTCCCAGACTCCCCCCCCTGGCCCCTTGTGTCTGGCACTGTGCAGCCCCCCAGCCAAGCACCCAAATCAGCGTACCACCTCCCCATCCCCTCCGGTCAGGCCCCACTGGCCCTGGTGCCAGCTCCCTCACCCCTCCCCTCATGCCCATCCCCTGTTCCTCCTCTCCCTCGGCTGCCCCCCGCGTGCTCCGCGCCCTCGCCCTCTAAGCCCCCCCACTCTCGAACCCCCCCCCCCACCCCCGTTGCACTTGCTTTGTGCTTCCCGCCCCCCGCCGTGTTTCCCCCCCCAACCCCCGCCATTCCAACCCCCTGCCCCTGCCTTTTTTGTCACACTCCCCTCCCAGTCGCCCCCCCTATGGGCAGCTGCTCACCCCCACCCCAAGCGCCGTGTCATTTCACCCGCTCCACTGGTCGAGTCCCTCCCCCCCATGCCCGAACCCGCGCTGCCCTCCACTCTTACCCTTCCTGCTCCCCCCCCCTCAGGCAAAATCCTCGGGGCGCATGCTGCGCCTACGGCCTTCAAAAACGACCCCGGGCTGCTATACATCGGCGTCGACGCGAACATCAAAGCCTGGACCTGCACCATGTGCGAGTTTACATGTGGATCCGCGCTCGACAGCGCCATGTCCCACCTCAACACCCCCTCCCACGTAGCCCGCGTGCGCGAGTCGGCACTCCTTCCCGCTGCCAAGGACAAGTTCGTCTCCTGGAGTGCCCTCACTCTCCTTCAGACCCCGCAGGTTGTGGCCTTTCTGAAGTAGTAAAAAAACTTAGCCTGGCAGAGCATAAGGTTAGCCTGCATAGGGCTAGATACACCTGCCTAGCCTCTCCCTCCGCATGCACAAGCACGCTGCTCGCTGGCGATTTCAACGCAGTCGATCTGGCATGCGACAGAAAACGACCCCTCCATGGTCATAAAAGGACCGAGCTCGGCATACTTCAATCGCTCATGCACTCTCACGATCTCCTAGATGCCTTCCGTGCCCACCACCCTGACAATACCCTCTTTTCATACTTCGGCCGTCCCAGTCCCACACGCCCTCTCACGCCAGTCCCCGCATCACGTATCGACCGCATGCACGTCTCCCCCCTACTCCGAGCTCAAATGCACACTGCCGCGTATGTGCTCATCCCGTCTGTCGTCTCCGACCATGCTCTCGGCCCTTCCTGCGAGCTTGGCTTCCTCAATCGCACCATGGCCCCAAGACCTTGGCGTCTTAGCACATCCCTCCTCAAACGCCCCTTCATTGCCCAGGTCGCCCAAACTGCATGCCGAACCTTACCCGCCGCCCCCTCCCCCGCGGAATGGGATACCTGGAATCTCAAACTCAGCAACCAACTTAAGCAATTCTCCAGCCACGAGCGGCGGCGCGTCGCAAAAACCACGACATTATTACAGACCCGCATCTGTCACCTTCAACTCCTCCAATCATCCCCCCGGGCCAACCTCCACCAAGCTGCCCTCCTCGCAAAACTCACCCAACAGTTTGAAACCTACGAAGCAACACGTGCAGCCGAGCTCGCACTTAAGGCCAAAATCAAGGTGGAAGGCCACCGCGAGATGGGAATATCCTCCCTTCTCGCATGTGTCAACACCCGGCGTAAAGCTGCACACATTCCCGCACTTCGGCTCGCTTCTGGAGCCACGACCTCCAAGCTGGCCGACATGGCCGGCCTCTGCACCACCTTTTTCCAAACCCTTTACAGCAGAGCCATCACCATCAGCCGCGACAACACCTTCTGGCAGCATATCCCCCCGTCTCAGCTATGCCCTCGCAACCTAGCACAACTTTCAGCACCCTTCTCATTGCTCGAAGTTGACAAAGGCATCGCCTCCCTCACTGGTGGAAAGACCCCGGGGCCGGACGGCATCCCGGCCGATTTCTACAAATGCTTTCGAACAACCTTCACCCCCGCCTTTTTCAAGCTCTTCTCGGCAACAACACATTCCAATGCACTTCCACCTTCCATGCTATGTGGGCGCACCGTCCTCATTCCCAAGAAAGGTGACTCAACATTAGTCGACAACCTGCGGCCCATCACCCTTATGAACGCGGACTACAAGATCCTAGCCATCTGTCTTGGTAATAGGCTCCAGGCGGTCCTCCCAACAATCATCCACTCCTCCCAAACTGCCTTTATTAAAGGCTGCAAGATCGGTGATACAATCAATGACACGCTTGACATAATGGACTGGGCCACCACCCGACACCTCCCTCTCCTCGCCCTCACCGTAGACATCCGAAAGGCCTACGACATGATCGACCGACCCTTCCTCCTATCATGTCTCGCCCACTTAGGAATCCCATCCCCCTTTATAAACTGGGTCCGTATAATGCACTCCAACACCACCACCCGTGTATCGGTCAACAACTACGCCGGCCCGACATTTCCGGTCCACACAGGTGTACGGCAAGGCTGCCCGCTGGCACCTCTCCTCTTCATCTGTACTATCGAAATATTCCGAAGGCATATGTCCCTTCACCTTCCCGGCTTTGCCATCTCCCGCCTGCAACGCAAGCTCATGGCCTGCTATGCAGACGATGTGACAATCTTTCTCAACTCCAACCACGAGCTCCAGACCGCCTCCACCGCGCTGCTCTCCTACGCGGCGTTATCTGGAGAATATCCTAACTGGACCAAATGCTCTATCATTCCATTCAACTTCCCGTCCGCTCAAATAACAGGGGCGGGCCTAATGCCCATCAAGCCCGACAACGTTGCGGAACGCATCCTTGGCATTTACATTGAACCGGACGCACCCGGATACACAACATGGGATAAAACCATGGCACGAATCCAGACCACCGCCCGATACCTCGCCCGTCTTAGATGAACCAGAATTATCCGTGAATTGCTAAATGCCATACCGGACGAATGGTGGAATACACTGGCCCCTGCGGTGGCGGCATCAACTCTTATCCAACCCGGGGATTGGGTCATCCCCACCGCTCCACCTGCCAGAATCCCCCCCCTTATTTATCAAGTCATTGAAATCCGCCCACATTTCTCCATCGTCGCCCGCCCCCATTCCGTCAACGCAAACCTCCACATCGACAGAGAGGCAGGTAACTCTTGCATCCTCCCCCTCTTCGCCGTCACTGCCGTCTATGTAAGGGGCCGCTGGTTGGCTGGCCCTTTTTACACAGGAGCAGGCCTGGGGGCGCGGCTAGAGATATTGCAGGATGGGGAACCAACACTCGCCGACTTACGTAGCTGCCTCTACGTGCAACAACCTCTCACAGACCGTGACCGTTGGAACGCCGCCCTCCCTGCCTCCCCGCCTCTTCTCCTCCCTGACCTCACGCACGAATTCCTCAAAGATCAAACCAGCCTCCATCGGGACCTCCTTTTCAGATTTTACACCCGCTCACTCCCCTCTGGTGCCCATTTCAACTTCGTCGCAGACAGAGGCATCTGTACACGCTGCTCCGCTGGCGTCACGGAGACCCTCACACACATTTTCTTTGAGTGCGGTGCTGCGAGACCAATCACCGCAGCTCTCCAGCGTGTCGCTTTTCGCCACCTCGGTGTCCGCATCTCCCCTGTACAATCCTTTTTCCCCCTCCACACCAGGGCCGGGCAATCAGCCCCATGGAGCCTGCTAGTGGGAGCTGCCGCCAAGACCATCTGGAACGCCCGCTGCAACCACAAGTTTAACGAGATCACGACTCACATGCTCGAAAGTCTCCACGCTGTCCTCGCAGCCTTCCTACTCTCCTGCAAAATTTTCATCTGGCGGTCTACTACACAGGCCAGGAAAAAACAGCTCCGATCTGCCCACCGAATAAA